CAAAAAAATGTTTTGCATTCATATTATAAAAATATATATCAACTTTGTAAATTGTTAGTCATTAGCTTTTGTCACTCTCCATTCTTTGAATTTATATGTATGTAAGATATTAATTTTTCTAAAATCTTGAGTTTCCAATGGTGTATTTTAAATCTATAATTCTTTCCTCAGGGTTCAGAATAGCCAAACAGGCAATGGAATTTGCAAAGGATATTCGAAGTTAAGCAACGTCAAATGTGTTTGGATGGTTGATTGACCATCAGAGGAAGGAAACCATAATGGCCGAGCGTGTTGAGGCATTGCTTGCTTTAAAACTTTTGAGTCTGGCAGCACAGGTTTCAATCCAGCATAGGCGACTTGAAATTTATTTTGTGACGGACATACTGAATGATTTTGATCTTTACATTTCGGTTAGAATAGGTTTGGTTGTACCTCTAGAACAACTCACCCTTATGCCAGAAATAGCAATGGTATGAGGTTATCAAAAAGACTTCCACCACGGAAAGCCCCACTGCTCAAGTCTCCCAGATTATATAAGCCCACCACATGCCTCCATCTGGAGGCAACCCATGCCGACAGGGCATAGGAGTAATCATCTTACCCCATATACTTTAATCAGGAATAGTGATATGGATTTCAGGACATCAATAGCTCTCTAGATGTTTAATTTATGGACGGTTTATTTTACGGAAAGAAATATAAGTTCTTGTGCGTCTACTGACTCTGGAAGAACCATAATCCATGGACTGATTTGTCACAGCGATAAAACTAAGAAGCAAAAAAAAAAATAAAAATAAAAACATACAAAAATTAATTAGTTATCAATACTTTATTTTATAACATCCATAAAATAATTAATTACAGTAATCTTTGAATTCCATAGCAACATTTAAATTCTTATGAAGTACATACAGGCATTAACAATTAATAATCAGCAACTTAACAATATTTTTGAAAAAAAAATTATACCATTCATCTTAACTACAATTTTTTTGATGAATAAAACACATGCTCATTAATCCACATTAAAAATACATTCTTCCATCATTATTTCATTCATGAATACTATAATAAAAATTAATTACAGTTTAATATTTTTAATCATAATTAATTTCAACTTCAACCTGGATAGACTTTTACAAATGCTAATATCCAGAGATAAGATTGAACGGAATAAAAAAAAAAATAGCTATGTATAAGTATTAATAATATTTTCCGATTATAGCAGCGAAGTTTCCTTTGAAACATGTATTAGTTCTAGTTAACTGAGCAAAATTTCTCAATTAAAAAAAATTGATAGTACCTTATGATTAAAAAGTGTTTCAATTTTAGTTGATTTATTTGTAGGAAGTATTTGAATACGTGTGACAATTACATTATTATTGGTTTTAATTCAATGCTATTATTATCTATTTTTTTTTCAAAATGAATACATATATAATTATTTTTATTTGCTTTTAACTATTTGAGAATAGAAGAATTTGGCATGAGTTAATGGAAAGATAAGGTGAAAAATTCTATCTGTTTTAAAAAGTTTTAAAGCTGCTATTTCTAGACTTGGAATTTCTTCAGTGTTTACATTTGAACTATTCAAGAAATACCAAGGTTTTATAACCTTTTAGAACAATGGAATTTCTCATTTAATTTCATTCATTAACTTATGCCAAATTCTTCTGATCTCATATAGTAAGAAGCAGACCAAAATAATTATAAAAATAAATTATTTATTTATTTGAAAAAAAAAAATAGTTACACAAAAAGCTTTACCTAACTTCATAAAACATTCATTGCAGAATTAAAATTAAATGTCATAACTTATTTCCCTCACTTTTGTGGTATGAAAGTTTTGATTACCAATTATTTGTTTGTAACCCAAAAGTTGTTTAGAATAAGCATATTAATATTTGGATTCTAAGATATTATATCTATAAGTTAATAAATAATAAATTGATGAAATCTTAGCATAAAGTATGAAAATTAGCCAAAATAAATAATTATTCACTTTTGAATTGATATATAACGTAATGAAAATATTTGTTCAATTACATTTTCCAGATTATGAAATTCATATGTTAAATTTGATATATACATAGTAATACTCTCATAGGCTTTATATTAATATTTCTGCTATAAAAATACAGATTTTGTGTTTTCAGACCTTTTTCCAAATAATCTAATTAACTTAATCTAATACTGAAAGTCCTTAATATTTTGTTAAGTGAATTTGATTGAAATAATACCATAGGCAAGAAATACTGTGGGCCTCACTAAATTGTGAGTAAACTTTAGTAACTAATATACTTTTCTGTAATAAACATTTAAATGTTGATTGCTCAATGTTACAAATTTATATATGTGTAGGAAGAATTTGAACACTAAATTCACACTTGTGCTTGTTAAATTGTACATTTTTTAATAAGTTCTGCTCCTTTTCAAATCATTATTTCTCTGTTTGAGATATGATATAGTATATTTTAAACAATCAACTACATTTTAGTATATTTCTATATTGAATACTAATATGCTCTAGCAAGTATTCTTTAATTCACATGTCATGAACGTACTGATTTGAAAAAAATAAAAGTTTGTATATAACGATCATTCTGTTTCATGCCAGGAAAAATAATAATCGATTCATATTAACTTTAAAAACTGTCCTGAATAGTGAAATTTATTCGAAAGATTGTATATTTACAAATGTAAAGTTTTTGAGAGTATTTAGTATAAACGTTTGTGATTAAAGTTTGATTTCTTAATAATTAATTTTTAATTGATCAGATAATATTTTTATGATTAAATAAAAAAATAATTATTTTTCATTAGACATTTTAATTGTATTAATTTGATTATTTTATTTTATTGAACTTGAAATGTTTTATAATTTGAGACGAGATTTTTCTGAAATTATATTCTCATTCTTTTTAAGCAGTTATAGAAATATTTTTATATATCAGTACATTGTGACAAAACTTATTTGATCTATGTATTTGTGAATAATTACATATATGTATTTTAATATTATTTATACATACATGCAAAACATTTTAATTTACACATTTTTCCTCTTTGGCTAACTCATTATTCGTTATATGATGATAATCATGGAAAAAATTAATTTTTTGAAATACTTTTTACTACAATTATAATATTAATGGTCAGTAAATATATTATTTTTAGTAACATAAAGCAGGCTTATGATATCACAATACAAGCTTCAAATACATATTTAAGGGAGTAAAAATAAAATTGACAAAAGTTTAAGTGAAGTTGAACTGTTTTAAATTTAAAAAATAAAATCCCAAAGAAAAGTCAAAAGCAACTAAAATATTATTTTAGTCAATAATATTAGTTATAACCTTACAGACCAAAGTAGTGATACTTATGGTTGCATTCTTTTAATGGTCCAAACAGTTGTTTTTTTTTTTAATTATAGATTAGTGTTAAAAAATAAATTAATGTGTCAACCAGTGAATTCGGCATTTAATTTTAAATTAATTATTAATTTGGAATTATCAAATATAATAGAAAAAAAAAAATATTATTATTGCTTTCAAAGATTTCGCATCTAATTTTTTAATCAAACTGATATGACTAAATTAATAAATTTTAAATATAATTTACATAAATAAAATATAAGAAACAAAATAAATAAGAGTTTATTTTTTTTCCCTGAAAGTAAATTTCACTCGCACAATGACCTCACAAGCCTAATTTGACTACACCAATCTTTTAATAAAAGAGTTGAACCATTTTCAGCATAAAATTAAAAATATATTCTTAAATTGTATCATTTAAGAACTGAGAAACACTATATATCCAAAATTATTAATATTACAGAATGGAAAAAAGTATATGAGAAGGAGTTGGTCGGGGGGTGCGGTCAAATAAATAATAAATTTTAAAAAATAGTATTTTTAATTATTAAGCTGACTTTTCGTCCCACCTTGCAGGTCTTCATCAGGGCGTGCCATGTGACACTGCAGGAGGCAGTTGATAGACTGATTGCACATGCCACATGCCTGCTGTGCCACATGCCACGCCCTGACGAAGACCTGCAAGGTGGGTCAAAACGTCAGCGTAATAATTAAAAATACTATTTTTTAAAATTTAGTATTTATTTGACCGAACCTCCCCGACTAACTCCTTCTCGTATTATATCACGGTCAACCATCTCTACATCATTAGGAAAAAAGTATATATATATAGTTTCATTGCTTTTTGTTTTTCTTACGATGAAATTCATTAGTAGTTAAATGCACAAAATAGATACCTACACTCTATGATTAATAAACAAGCCACTCTTACGAAATATTGATATTTAAATTTCATGAAATATCATAATTCATTGGTTATCTATTTATTTAAAATATTGAATTATTTATCTATTGCTAATACACGTGCAGCCTGCCTAAACAGTTTCTATACTATGCTAAAGCAGGAAACATCCATTAATACTATTTAACCACTTATTAAGTAGTTTAACACTTACGTATATATATATATATTTAAAAACACACAAATAATTATACATCCTTCACAAATATCATAAATTATTTTATTTTTAACAGACAGCGCTAGAAGATTACATTCTTAAGGACTACTAAACTGGTTTGCTTATCTTTACTAATGTTTAATGTACAGTTGAACCTTAATATATTGAACTTTCATTTTTTTAGCCAAAAATCTTTATGTATAGCAGTTGACTTTGAATTGAGATTGAAGAGATTAACTGGGTAAGAGTAGAACTGATCAAGAGGTAGTTTTATTCATTTGCTTCATTAATAAAACCAAATGAACTTATTTTGCTTTGAATAAAAGTGAATTATAATTATAAAGTAATATTTTTTAAAATTTTATGTCTTATTTATTGTATTCACACAAACTTTAGTTTTAAAATAATTTATTTATTTATTTGATTTTTTTTTTTTTGTTGCTTTAAAGTTAAATTAAAATAATTTAATTTAACTCTTGGATCAAAGTTTAATTATAAAAAAAAAATCTTCAATAAGTGCTTAATTCAATAAAAATATGCAATAACTAAATCAAATAACCAATTGTAAAAATATCAAAATAAATTAATTCATATTTTGGGCATAATCGGAATTGCCCAAACCAGTCTCATCCCTATTTTGAATCCATCCTATTAATCACAAATTTACTTCTATTGTTTATTCCTTTCGGATCATAGCTGAAAATATCTATAATATAAGAAAATACTGACAATCAGAAAAGAACAGAGGGAGAAGCATTAGATTTTAATGCATTTATGCCTTGAAAATGAAGACAAATTTTCTTGTCGATATATCACTTTGTCTCATTGAGGTTGATATAAGAAAATTGTTATATCAATAGCTGAGATCATCCATCTTCAGCTCAATATTAGGGGGTTTGACTGTACATTAACAACATAATTTTAATTTATGTTCTAATTTTATAATGAACATATAACATTATCTAATAAAACATGGGATAATTTATAACATTAACAATAAAACATAATTATAAAATTGCTGAACAATAAATAAAATTTGCCTTGGAACCTGCCAAAAGTCAACGCAATAAAATCCATGAATATTTAACAAAACATTTGATATAATTCTACAATTTATTAAATAATCACATTAAAAAAGTAACTTAGATTTACAAGCTAGTCTTTGGTCTTATCAGATACTATTCAATAAATATATATTAACACTTTTTATGATATGCATTAGTTTCTCAGATGTCAAACTTGACTTATATCTAATCTTAAAATTTAATGATATGTTTAATGATATGTATTGTTCTTGGTCACATTTACTAACAAAGCAAGTAAATGTTAGTCCAATGAAAATAAATAATCTTCTTTTTTTTTTTTGTATAATTAAAATATTCTTACATTACTAGGTCAAATTAACAGGTAACTTTCAGTTCTTACAATGATATGTTTAGTTTAGCAATATACTCATATATTACTATTTATGTACTCCTATAGAAAAAGTAACAAGTAGTCTTTAGTCAGGTTCTAAACTATAAGATTCTGAGAAAAGTGCTACAGACTACATACGAATATTAAACAATACATTTTTATGCGCTTTTTTTTTTTTTTTTTTTTTTTTTTACAATCGAATTTGAAGAAGTGTTTGCATCGTATTAAAACTTTCTTCAAGACTTTGTGCGAATCGAGAAGTACTTGTTTGTTCTGATGAATAAAATGCAGACAGGCAAAATATAACTGAGTCTTCGTGTATGTTGTATGAAGCCCCGTAACCATCTGGTACCACTGGTCCGTAACCCATAAATCCAATTTTGGTTGCCACCTAGAAAATTCGAAACAATTTTAGTTATAAAGAATTTCAGTGTTCAATATATTTATTATTGAACAATACTGAAATAATAAAGCTTTACTGATATATAAATCTTTACTTAAAAGAGGCTAAGAAACTCAATAATTAATCCTCTATTTTCTCTCGGTATAGTTGTTTTTTTTTTAAAATATCACATCGTGTGACCCTGCTAGGTTTAAAAAATTAAAAAAACCATTATATCCCTCAATAAAGGAATTACGCCAGGGAGATGCCTTAGCCTGCCTTCTCTTTGATCTTGCACTAGAGAAAGCAGTGAGAGAATCTGGGATACAGATCAATGGCAACATCTTTAATAGATCTGTACAGCTCCTTGCGTACCTGGCTGATATAGAAATCATAGGACGTTCCTTCCAGGCTGTATCGGACGCTTTTCTTGTTTTTGTGGGTCCTGCGAGAAGACTTGGCTTGGAAATCAATGCTGAAAAAACAAAATATATGGTTTCGGGAGAGATGCCTAGACCTGGAGAGGTGACTTTCAGGGAATACCAATTCGAGAAGACTAATGTTTTTGTATGTTTTGGCTCTTTGGTAACTCAAGACCATACACCTGAACAAGAGATTCAGCATAGGATCATAATAGAAAATCACTGCTATTTTCTATGGCAAGGTAGTTCCGGAGTAGAGCCCATTTTAAAAAATCTTTGTCTTTATAAGATGATAGTTCATTCAGTCTTGCTGTATGGTTGTGAGACTTGGACTAGCTCCCAGGCTTGTGAACAGGATCTCCTAATCTTTGAAAGAAGAATCCTCAGACGTATATATGGTGGAGTTCTCATCGGAGGAGAGTGGAAAAGGAGGAAAAACCAGGAGCTGTACACCATGTTTAAGGAGTCCGATATAGTTCGAGTGATGAAAATTGCAGGACTAAGATGGGCAGGACACGTTGTCAAGATGGACCTTGAGGATCAACCAAAACAATTACTGATGGAGCCACTCCATGGTACCAGAAGAAGAGGAAGACAAAGCTGCGATGGGCTGACGGTGTTCCTGCTGATGCAACAAATATGCTTGGGCTTCGGAATTGGATTGTGGCTACAAGTGACCGAGAAAATTGGCGGAAACTGCTGGAGGAGGCCAGAATTCGACACTGGATTGTAGAGCCACGCTAATAATAATTATATGAAGTAACACTTCTAATTTTGTTGGAATATTCATAACCAGTATTCTTAAAAAAACATAATAATCTATCCTGATAAAAAATAATCTCAAGAATAAAAATTGATTTCCTTGTGGCTTATTATAACATCAATATAATCCTATATAGCGTGTTTCATTGAACGAAAATCTTATTTAGTCCATAAGAAATGAGTTCATAGTATATTATTCGATAAATCTTATTATTTGAATTTAGAAAAAAAGAAAGCAAGTTTAATACCTGGCTCGTACTCAATCCAAAGTGATTTAAGATCTTGTAAGATTTGTCCTGGAAGAGATCTGGAAGTCTTCCTATAAGTTTTGCCTGTTCCCGAAGTCCGAGTAGATGAATATCTATTCCTTGGCCCATGATATTATCAACCATGATTTCTGTTTGTTTCTTCATCGCTGCATCAAAAAGAGCTAATTTTTCTTCAGCCTGAAATTATAAAAAAAATAAATATTACCGAAAAATAGTTTTACAAATCATTTAATACTTATTTATGTATCAATTACTTAGTATTATTTAAAATAATAATCTGTCAGGAGAGTATATAATAAAAAACATGGTGCAATGCCTGCATCACTCAAATTTGACTTACTACCTTGAATAAAAATATTTTCATATTTTTATAAACATATACAGGGTGTTTCGTAATTACACGGCACTATTTTAGGTAGGTGTTCATTAACACAAAATAAACAAAAAAGTTCATATTAACATATATCTCAAACTCATTTATTAAATTAAATTACAATGCACACAAGATCCTAACTTCTTGAACTGCATTTTGGTTACTGATGAATCTTGCTTTACAAGAAACAGGATTCTTAATTTTTGAAATACCCATACTTGGGCTGAAGAAAACTCTCATACAACTGCTGTTGGACATTACCAACATATCTTTTCTTTAAATGTCTGGTGTGATCTTCTAAGCAACAGAATCGGCCCCTTCTTTTTGCCATCTAGGCTGTCAGGTATATCTTACTTGCATTTTTTGCAAAATAATCTTCATGAACTCCTAGAAGATATTCCGCTAGGCATTAGGCAAAGGCTGTGGTTTATGCATGATGGTGCTCCAGCTCACTTTTCTAATAGTGTCACTGATTATTTAAATGCAACTTATGGAGACCGATGGGTTGGTCGAAACGGACCTGTTAAATGTCCACCACGATCTCCGGATTTAGCGCAATTAGATTATTTTGTGTGGGGCTGGATGAAGTCTATGGAAGTCGCAGTAACTATCAAGCACCATGCTGATGCTATACGAAGAGCCAGAGAAGCACGGATTCGTCGTGCATTCAACAAAATGGAGGTCCCTTTGAACAGTTACTCTAAATGTTTTAATAATAATAAATAAATAGTAATAATAAATAATAAATCTTTAACCTTTGATATCTGTTTAATAAATGATTTCAGATATATGTTAATGTGAATTTTTTTGTTTATTTTTTGTTAGAGAACACATACCTAAAATAGTACCGTGCAATTACAAAACACCCTGTAAAGGGAACTGAAAGTAAAACTTATAGATGGTATATTAATTTAAAAAAATATACAACTAACATACAAAAATTTATGGACGGGTTCAAAGTATTAAGGGATATTTATTAATGTTAAAAAATAATTGCTTGTTGGCAAGACAACTACACACACAAAACAAGTTTAAATTAATAAAATGTAAAATAGTATATTTCAGAACAATTCTGAACTTAATCCTAAACATGTAGCATGAAACACATTGAAAAAGATAGTTATTAGTGTTTTTGAGAATGATGTGTATTCGAAATAAGTGAATATCAGTATTTTTACCAGTGACACTCTTTCTATAATTTATATTATTCTATTTTACATCTTAAACCCAAGCTTTCGGTGTATCTGCCCCATATCCATATTTTTTTTCTTATTTTTTTGTATTTAAAAAATATAAAAGATTGAAACAGTGTTCGAGTTCTACTAATATATTTCTCAGAGAACAGTACTAATAGTATAAATCTTACCGTAGCCAAGCTGAACGTAACTCTTTTTGCTGGATTTAAAGGATCATTACTATCATCAGATTGAGCCATAGCTGAAACCCACTGTAACGCCTCCCAAGTTGCTGACCTGATACAATCTACCCTTCCTAGTCGAAATCTACGGGTCGAAGCACTCTCGTATGTTGCTGTTAGCTTACCATATAATCTGGAAATAATTAATAATGATCATCTAGTATTATTTTTATCAAAAATAATTTTAACAATTAACAGAATCTTTCAGTATGTTATTGATATTTACTTGTAATAGGCCAGTTGCAATGCCATTTGAACGTAAGCGTCAGGACTAACTTTGCAGGATTTGATAAACCTTTTGCCGTATCCATCAAAATGGTAAACATAATAATCAAAATCTTCGATTAAACTGTAATAAAAAAAATAAACAAGTTTAGTATACATTTAAATATTTATTACTATTAATAATTACTATCCTCGCGCGGGCTCATTACTGCGTATGGGGAGCGTCCCACGCGTGGCGGATGTGGGGATGGTCGGTGGAAATTCCTTGGAAGTTCCTCCCGGCTAAGTCTGATGGACTCGCTGACCAAAAATGAGAGGGGACCTCCAGACTTGCTGGAGGGAGGGGACCTCCAGACTTGCTGGAGGGAGGGGACCTCCAGACTTGCTGGAGGGAGGGGACCTCCAGACTTGCTGGAGGGAGGGGACCTCCAGACTTGCTGGAGGGAGGGGACCTCCAGACTTGCTGGAGGTAGGGGCCCACCAGACTTGCTGGAGGGTGTGACGTAGGATTGAACGCCCTACTCACATATCTTTAGTTCACCAAACACCACAAAAGGTTAATATTTGCTGTGCCGAATGGTAAGCGTCCGAGGGGTAGACCGAAGCGAAGGTGGAAAGATTGCATTAAAGCCGATCTGAAGGGACTGGGTTTGGACGGCGAACGGTGGAGGGAGGTGTGTAACAAGCGATTGGTGGTGTCGGCATCGAACCTTCGGGTTCGCTAAGCCTTATTATTATTATATTATTATTATTATTAATAATTACTATAAATTAGTAACAAAATAGCCCAGAGACAGAACACAAATTCTAGGTTATTATTGGATAAATTACAAACCACACAGCCTTATGTCTCCAAAATGCATGCAAAGAAAAAATACGTCAACGTTTCGTCAATTCAGGCATCATCAGGACATAAAAGAACAGCCAATCGAACATCTCTTGAATGAAAAAGAGCTTAAAGAGACATTTGAGATTAAATACAAAAATGGCAAAAAGTAGGACTTGTGGTCAATGAAAATAAAACTAAATACCAAAATACCTCGGCAGCAAGTAGAAGATCCAGCAGTGAATCAGAATAAAGAATAAAAATATAAAATAAAGATTCGTTTCTTGAAGTTTTATTTAAACATTTCTCATTTTGTTGGCATATTAAAAACAAATTGTGTGAAAAATTTAACTTGATTCCTAGTTGCATTTTCAAAATTTGATTTATTTTTAATGAGTATAGACTTTTTTACTTTGCACACAATTGGCCTGATTGGACCGCAGTGCATCATGAAATAAAATAAAAAAAAAATAGACTTTTCTTAAATGAATGATTGCTTATCACAATGTCATTTCTTGCAATAATTGGCATGAGAGAAACCTTAATCACTTGATACGGTTCTGGTTGGCTTCCTTAAATAACTCTAATTACTTTTTTTTGAGATTATTTTTTTCCACAAGGAAAGCTTCATGTCCACCTATAACTATCGACGATAGCCCAGTGCCTACAAAACCTATGTATGGTATCATGGACTCTACTTAGATAAAAGATTTACTTGGAAGATAGACAAAAAATTAAAAACATAAGAACTGACAAGACGATATAATCAACTCTCACATATTCTGGAATATAGATCCTTACTTACTTTATCTAAAACATTATACCAAGACTAATTTGGACATACAGTGCACAACATTTGGGTTCAGCAAAACAAACACAGGTAAATAAAATTTAAACAACCTAATCAAAATTCTATGAAAAATTGTCAATACATCATGGTATATTTCAAATCACACTATAATCAATGACTTAAACATTTCAACAGTAAAATCCTACAATCTCTTTTCAGCCCAAAATCACCTCAACCTACTCGTTCTATCACTTTCCTCTTTCCTGTTACCTGTTCAACCTAGGTTTAATAAAATTGCTCAGGAATCTGTTGCTTCATCGATAAATAATTTAAGGTCATTCAACAAGTCAAACAAAACACTGGAATTAATCAGTAATATCAAATTTGTTAGGTATCCTATTGCATGGTTGAAAATGGAATAAAAAGAATAATTTTTATGAAATAAATAGGGAATAATCAGATTTAAAATAAAAACCTCCTGGCATATTTATTTTGGAATTTAATTTAGAAACACACATTGAATTTTATGATGTTCTATGTGAGATTTTTTCTCATTAGTACAAACATTTGTGTTGAAAGCATCTTGATATTGATAACTAAGGATTATTTAGTAGGAGAGATTTCATTCTGATGAGAGACTAAAAATAAAATTATATAAGAAAAAAACAAGCTTATCTACGAGGAAAACATAATGAACTTATTTTTTCTCTATTAATTCCCTAACTTTATATTAAGGTTTTAAAAAAAATGCTTAAAACCTAGGATTTAAAAATATTACGTAATACTAGCTATCAAAAAATTGTTTTAACAAACTAAGTAATCTCAATAAAAATTTGATTACTTACTTATCAATTGACCTTGCAGCTTCATTAATTGCTCTTGTTAGTTGATTTGGGGCGATCCACGTCAGTTCTTGAAGAGCTATCGTACATGGAATAACTTCGTTTGAACTTATATTATTACAGGTATCAATAATTGTTTCAAGAACATTTATTAAGGCCACGGCTTCTGATGTAGAATGTTCATAACACAGGCCGTTGACACCATCTGTCCCAATTATTATCTACAAAATGCAATTGTATGAATTATCTCTTGTATATAATTCTTGCAGAATACTTAGGTTTGAAATATACATATGATTTCATACATGATAATATCATATGTCGATAATTCTGAGCAATATCTATAGAACACAAAATGTAAAATAAATTTTATAGATAGAAGCATTGGCTGAGTTCATTTTAGAAAAAAAAAATAAATGTACTATGTTGGTGGTTAGACAAGGATGTTAAAATAAATAGGAAGTGACATGTTGACAAATGCCATGAGCCTCGAAAATAAGACAGATACTTTTTTCTATTGTCTATGTAAATATACCTTATTTAAAAAGGTTTGTTTTTTCACATTCATTGGCCATTTGTACAGGATTTCTACTGGCCAAATTTCAGACAAATCACCCCACAATTGTTGAAATCGTATGGTAATACTTTATAGTTAATTGACTTTATAGTTAATCCGTAAAGCCATAATTTTTTAAAAAAATGCATTCTTCTCACACTTTGTCTCTCACCCTTGTCCAGAAGAGAGGGTGGGAGATTAATGCTGGAGTTAATTGCCTCTAGCACCGAGATTGGAACTAGAAATCTCAGGTTATCAGGCTGACAGGCGACTTCATCCATAATAATTTGTCCCCCTAAGAAACAAACTACTCTGATAATTCACCATACAACGAAATGCCTTTAGTTCTTAACATTCTGTGGAACTCATAGTTTCTCTTGAAGTGGATGCATCTAATGCTTGTCAATTTGGTGCCTCATACTTTTGGAACTCACAGTTTTCTACTTGTGATTTTAACAACAGCCCCGGTTTTGAAAGCAAAGAGATACAATCCACTTTCTTTGATTTTAAGGTTTATTATTGGATTAAGAGGGAGGGAGAGAGGGCAAGATTTTAAAAGTACCTACAATTTAAAGATTGAGTGTAAACTTGTGATCTTGAAATCATTAGTATTTTTATAAAAAAGTGGTAATAACCCAGGAATGAAATTTAATATTGAATAAATCTCAAAACATTAACTAAATTGATAAATTGTTATAGTAATTATACATTTTTTTTATAACTATAAACATAATAGTCAGTAGAGAAGGGGTTTAATTACAACTAATTCTAAAAATAATTTAAAACATTTTTAACTATGGCAAAATTCTATTTCAACTGAAAGAGTGGCATAATACTGAAAAGAAAGACATAAAAAAAAAATCCAGCTGGTGTAAAAGATCATTGTGGTTACAGTACAGGTTTAACATTAATCATTGTTTATTCAAAATTAATTTTGAATATTTAATAGTTGACCTATGCATTATTAAGGAAGGAGATGGTCCGGGGTGGAGGTCATAAATAGGCTAAATAGTGGAAAAACTATTTTATTAAAAGCCAACAATTCGACCTGACTTTGTAGGTCTTCTTCAGGGCTAGAACAGACAAGTTACAAACAATATAGAGAATTGGGAAGTTACATAACATTAAGAAAAAAAAATTATAAACAATGTGAATAAGCTTATTAAAATCATAAACAGTAAGTACATTAAAATATAAACAGAGTAACAAGATCCTAAACTGAAGTAAATAGATGGTAACAATTGTTATAGTGTAATATATGCAAATATGAATATACTTCTACAGATATACAGGAGAGATTGAAAAGGAAGGAAAAAGGATATAATATGAAAGAATAGACATATAGGAATATGGAGAAAAAAGAAAACCAAAAATGAATGAATAAGTATATAAAATAAAAATAGAGACACAGGTGTGTTCAGCTAGGAGTTTCACTTAGGATTAGAAAATAAGAGTAAGGGTAGGTATTGGAAAATTTTGATGACCTGAATTTGCGGAATTTAATTTAATTTGAAAGGGTGGTATAATGATGAATTAAAAAAATTAATTTCATGTCATTTATACCGCTTCACTTATAGGAGCCTCATATGTTGCAACCAGGTACTATACAAATGATTATATATGATAATTATTTAAAAAATGAATATACCCTCTATACTTAGCATCCTTGGAAATTATTGATTGTAAACATGGCTACCTATCTCCTCCCAAGGTCGATGGAGCATGCTCCCTTCATTCCCAAGAAATTTGATTGCTCTCTTTTCTTCAAAACAATGTAAGCAAAAATAGTATAAGAAAAGTTGTTAATATACAATAATCCTTGCTAAGGACTGTTCCATTTTTCTCTTGTTCTCTACTTTGAAAGTTGTTCCAGATCACACAAAAATATAATTTCTTCAAAACATGCATGACCCATCAAAAGGAGCCTCTCTCAAATATTCAAAATACCAATTTTACCCAAACATATTCGAAAGGTGCCTCCTCAACGTAACATGGGCCTTATTACTCCCTTCTGGGCACCCCTGTTTATAAAAAATTCAAAAAAAAAATTAAAGCCATCTTACTTGGATTGTTTTGTCAAACCATCTATTTGGCGTATTGAGCCTCGATCCTCCTCCATGAATCATCTGATGTGCCATATTGGTTTCATCTCTTGTACCCGTAATCATTCCACTCGCACTCCGGTTACCTTTGCGGCAAAACTCTTCCCCTAAAGGATGGTGGTCAAGACATACCAAGGCTAGACTGTTTTCAATCAGTTCCAAGCTGTTTCTGTTTTCCTCATCTGTAATAAAATTAATCATGAAAAATAATTTCGTTACTGCAGTTATAATAAAAATACAGAATTAAATTATTACATACAGCCTAGTAAAGATTCTCTGTTTTCTGCCCAGAAATGTCGCTGAGTGGATGTTAGTAGACCTAGAGCTGGTGCGGTAGTGTCAGTCCCTGTATCTAGGATGGCAAGCATGTGACCTGCAACTTCTTCTTCCGTAAGGATCTTACCATCCTTTCTTAAATGGACCGCATAAAACTGAAATCACGAATAAGAACATATGATAAAAACAAATTTATAGCTGGAACTCTAAATTCAGAGAACTTATAAAGATAACGCCCGTGACTTGATAAAGTTTATGAATGACATAAAAGCAGTCATATAATAAAGTCGCCTCTTATTTTCATTTAATTGTAATTCTAATTCACCTCAGTTTTTAACTATTAGTCTTTCTAGTTTTCATAATATCTAATATCCAAGTTCCATATAAGTTGCATTCAATATTTTGTTACAGTCAGTGATCAAACTATAAATAATTAATATATATCCAGTGTAATTTCATCTTACTATAACAATTAAAATATTTTACTGGCAAAATAGGACTTGCCTTTACAAGTCTTAAAGCCAAAATCAACATTATAAAAATATACATACATATATATATATATATATATATATATATATATATATATATATATATATATATATATATATAATATATATATATATATATATATATATATATATATATATTTACAATACTTTAAGGTCATAACCTAATCCCTGTCCTTTTTATCATAACAGTCTTCCTCTTGAAGTCCCTTTGCTGCTATGGCTTCATGTAAACCTTCCAACCACCTCTTTTCCGGAAGACCTCTCTTCCTCCTTTACGATGGTACATCCGTCGTCCGTCATTCTCATTACATATAGAGATCATACAATAAAAACATGATTATCTAATAATTACGAAGATGCTTACTTTGTTCCTACATGCGACGATGACGTGCTGGTTGGGATTCGGACCATCGGGTTCGGTGCTGATGAGGCTGTCAGACGGATTCCCCGGGACCCTGTATGACGTCATGAGGCGGTAGTACTGGGCCATGCATAGAGGTTGCCCTTTCTCACGCGATGTTGCCCTCTCCACTTCGATCTCCTTCCTAATAGGCAATAAATTCATTCAAAATTTCATCTAGAAACTACAATACAAGCAAATTAATATTAAACCATAGCTTTTCAGCAAGATTAATTTGTTTACAATAATCAAGATATACACCTAGGGTGAACGCACCAGTTATGGACAGAGGTCCATTGATAGACATATTGGACTTTAATTATAAATAATAAGCTTTCTTGTTGATTTAAAGGTTCCAGTTTTTTCTAGATTGAAGAACAATGCTCTCTATTGACAACTGTATGAATAAAGTTTCCAAATGAAAATTTTAAAATGCCTATCATTGTTGTTTCTATAGTGCTCTTTAGATCAGTGGGTTTCATACCTTCCAACAAACAGTTTTGCAAAGAGTAAGTTGATTATTTCTCTTATCTTTATAGTTAAATAAAGATTATAGAATTTTTCTGAGGCATGCCCATGACTGGTACCGACGCCCTGTCCATAACTAGAACAATTGAATTTCGGGGAGGTCCATTGCTAAAGCAAAAAGGTGTTGTTTTTTTAAATCGATATTATACCAGCATAACTTCGACAGTTGTGCAACTTCGATAGTTGTGCCTTTTACATTAGACAATTAAACATAAGGGGAATATCAGCAAATACACCGGCTGCTTTGGGAAATGATGATAAATCCTAGACAAAATTGTTTCTCTCCAAAGAAGGAATCTTAAAAAATATCTAAACCTCTCAAGCACCAATCACCACCTCTTTTTTTCCTCTTACCATTTTTTTTTTCCTTCTCCTTTTTACCTAATGTGCGAACTTTAAGCAACTTAACTTTAATAACAATTGACAGTTTTTAACATTAACGTGCATTTTACATTTTTTTAATTTTATCAAATTCTTAATATTCATAACCAAAAGATATAATAATAAATAATTTTAATTAACGGCGTTGATGACCAACAGGTTCTACGCCTTTAATACACAACCAACGAACCAGCATAACTGAATATGTTTTCAATTTTAAAGTTTTAAATAGAAAAAAGGAGACCCTAGAGATTCTAAATGTCCAACGGAGAAGATTATAACTATAATAATTACGGCGGCATAATGCGCTTATGCTAAATATTTTTGATAACTTTTGACAAATTTCTAAGTACTTGCCAATCTCAGCAAGCTTCAAACATACATGGTTAATAATACATATGAGAATCTCTGGCAAAAACTATTAATAAAGATATCAGTGAACAATACAACCATTCAAAGTAATTCGAGGCAAGAATATTTAATGTGCAATAAATATCATGCAACTGCAAAACACAAACGATTTCAAAGAGTTTAATATATATGTAAATTTTTGTATGTGTAAAACATGTTACATTTATTCAGCTGCTTTTATCGAGACACCGACTCAATTCAATTCGGTTATAAAGAGTCCTTAAGCAAGACAATTAAAATAAAGTTTTAAGAAATATTAATTTGCCGTCCACCATCTTAAAACAAAATTTCAAAACTTTAAAAATCTTAACTTTTTCATAGAAAAACCTCTCACTCAAATGATTCGATAATTATCATTAAAGTATAATTATAAATGGTCATCGATAGCTGATACTATCGAAACAACAATATTTTTCTTCTGATATTCGATATTTTACCATCGATTATATCTCCTTCAATATTATTGACTATCATATCGTCACTTCGATATTTTAATATTTTAATTTAAAAATAAAAATTAAAACTATCGTTTTCTGAAAGCACTAGAAATTATATATGAATCCGAATGTTAGAAAACATTATACTCATTTTGTCTGTTTCGTATAAAAATGAAGTGCGTAGTAGAGAAAAATATCTACATTTCGTATTGATTATCAATGGACATTCATAAGTAGAGTTAAATAACACACATGGGACCCTTTCACTCAGCAAACTCAAATTTGCCCAAATTTTTTAGTTAGAACATTCTCAAACCAAGGTTACGAATTATCAAAGAAATCTATGTAGAATGCAAATATGAATTAGCATTTCGCTGAATCTGATCGCTGAAATATGGTTAAATGCAAATTTCTGGAAAAATGCTGAGGACGATGAAGATGAACTGCAACTGGAAAATTAATTTGAATAAGGAATGCAGAAGAATTGATGTTTCCATTAATTAATTTAAAGAGGAAAGTAACATTTTTTTATGCGCCTATTTGTTAAAGAATCAGTATTTATATTAATATTCATATACGCTATCGTTGGTATCATTTAGTTAGGGAAGAGGTACTGCTGAGTACTTTCCTTCCTCATGCCTGTCATGTCATTATTTCCTGTATCGCCAATACATTTGCTGGTTGTCAACAATTGGTCAATTGTTAACAATTGACAGGAGTACATACATTTTTATATTATAATAAAAATATTCATATTTAAAAAATATTTATGATATCGATGAACATATTAACTATCAATATTACACCTTCGATGTCACATTCCTACGGACAACCCATTACTGGGTCTTTAGTTTAAGAGCATTCGTTCTCCAATTCCTAGCTCCAAGCAGGGTCTTTGAATCCTCTCCACAACCATCCACACTTTGGGAGGTCTCTCGGTCGAGTTTCTTTCAGATATTCGTCAATCAATTTTTTTTTTTTGTATCTCATATCCAAAGAACAGTAATGGAATGGAAAAGTGGAAACGGTGCTTAATAATTGACCCAGATATTGTGGGAATGACTGTACACAATAAATATTTTTTTACTTAATTATGTATTTAAATGTACTTACCTATCCAACCTCTCCTTGTAAGAAGATAGACCCATTGTAATCCTAGCAGCATACCGAGCTATATCCGAGAAACCTCTAAATTGCCTTGGTGGAAATACCATTCCTTAAAAAATAATAAAAATAAAAATATTTAATTTAAAATAAAATATTTCAAAATTTCATTTATTAAAGTAAAGAAAAAAAAATACCTGGGTTCGAGTTGATTGGTAAGGGAAGGGGGACTGCAAGGTACATGTCTTTAAGCCACCACGTGTAAGCCTGAAAATTGTAAATAATTTGTTAATATAATTAAATTAAAATATATATTGTTTTTATTCAGAAAAGATGAAATGTTATATTGAAACAAATTTGTTAACTATATCTATGAAGAAAATGTACCAAACTACAACCCATGGAGAGTCTTGGGTTCAATATCACATACGGAGTGTACAATAAGTAAAGAGAAAAATATAAAGGGGTGATAACAGAGTTTAAGAGCTACAAAAAACTTTATATAAGCAATCGTCTAATTTTCCACAGAAAAACAGCAAATTTAAGTTTTTGTGTGTTTTTAAGTAAGTCACGTTTTTTGATTAGTAGGAAGTAGTAACTACGGAGGAGGGATGGGAATAGGTGAGGGGGCGATTATTGCACTTGAAAGACTAAGACCAAGACCGCCTCATTGTTCCAAGACTAAGACCAAGACTGACCAAAAAAAAATATGCGTTTTCGTGAATAAAAATTAAGATAAAATAGTTACTAACACTAGACAATTTTAGTTACTATACGTAAAGAATAGGCAGAACCAATATATTTTTGCATTTAACTCTTCCAAGTTTTAGTTAGGTTTCTCCATTCCGAAAGATGATAGTAATATTTATAGTATGTAGTAGTAACATTTGCTAAACGATTATTAAATTTCGGACAAAACTATAACAAAATCTGACCAGTTTTAGCAATGTTACTGTATATTGAATTTTATACACTGATTTCAACTATTGTTCACTTGCCTCTTTACATTGCTTTAGTTCATCAAAAAAATTCAACACTAATGATTTCTCTGATCGGTTATCGAGAAAATTAGTCTAATGCAATTGTGTTATTTTTAATGAACATATTTTAAATTGAAAAAAAAATTGTTTAAAATCGGTAGGAAAGTCATGTGAGTGGGTCTACCAGAATTTTTTATTTAAATAATTGGTGACATAGATTGTCTTTACTCTGCAACTTTTCCATTCCAAGGTGGGGGGGGGGGAGGGATCTATCACTATCTTTCTTGACAATGTCTTTAATGTATCGTCAAGTTAATTATATTAATTTGATTGGACTTTACTATGTTTATGTCAAGAAAACATCTGAATGTACCTATTCTGTAGCGTTTTTCTAAGATCTAAAGTAACTTGTTTAGTAAATGAGCTTTTCAGTTGACAGAATGACTAACTCCAATTTCAACATTTTTTAATAAAATCATTTTAGTGATATTTCTAGTTAGACAATTTATAATATCGGTATAGTCAGTGAATAAGTTGATTCCTGAGTAGGTGATTCCAGTGTTGAAATATAGAACTGGGAATAAAGATATATATAAATTTAACCACTAGAAATATTCCTAAAATAAATAATCAAATATGCTGAAATTGGAGTTGGTCAATCTGTCAACTGAAAGGCTCAAATAGCAATAAGCTCATAAGTAACTACAAGACTCTTGTTCAAGACCAAGACTCGTCTTGATCTCGCATTTGGGCAACACTACTTTTAAGTAACTAAATCTTACCGTATAAAATGCTTGTTGTATTCTATTTTTTTTATTAATAAAAAAATCACCTCTGTTACTCTTAGCCCTGTTGTTTTTAGCATACTTCTAACTGATTTCTTCATGCTAATCATTTAGTTAATGTATATGTAGTTTTTATATACTTATTTATAATTTTACTAATTTGTTTATACTACCATCATCTCGTGTGTATTATCTTGGTTTATTTACATATTTCTACCGATTTAGTATTTTTGTGATATATTTTTGAATTGAAAACTTCTTTGGCCGCGTTTTGCACTTTATTTTTGGAGAGTGGATTAGATTGAGCTGTCAGATTTCCGATATGTAACGCTAAGGTAAAGCCAGCTGGATTCGACTAACTGCTGAAGTGTTTTTGCATATGGATTAGAATATGTCTAAAATCGGACTCGCATATTGTTTGATAGGGAAATGTTCATCATTTCATCCTCTTTGTATTAGGATATTATTCAAAATTTTATCTTAACGTGACACCGTGGTAGAGAGGCGAAAAGGAAAAAAAAATAGTGTCGAAAACCAAATTGTAACGAGTTTTATTGAAGATATGGATTAAAATATCTCAGAAACTATACTGTAAGCAAGGGAAACATTCATTGTGTAATCCTCTTTCTAATGAGCTATTATTTATAATTTATATTTCATATTATTAATCTCGCCTTTTTGATGTTTTCACTTTTATCGTGTGTTCTAAAACATATTCCTTAGTTTTGTTTATTATTTTTAGCTCTGATGACGGCCTAAAGCTTTGAGTCTAAACTTCGGCAAACCTACTAAGCCGTTCAAAGATTGCAAATACTGATTATTTACCACCCTCATAATTTTGACAGTCAACCATATATCTCTGCCTGAATGTCTATTCGCGGTACGTCGCTTGCTGGTGGCCTATCCATGGATCCACCTCTAAGTACCCTCTCATAGAATTAATGCGGCCTTATGAGCCTGCGGCCTGCTGGTCGGGGCGCAGCCGCAGAGCGCGGCCAATGGAGTTCCCCAGGGAGCTGCGCGCATGCTGGTCCTTTCTCTGCTCAAATCAATGCAACCCATTCACAAATATACTCTACGTACAAATACAATCTCTGGCCAAACCACTTTACCTCAATGGGATATCCATTGATCCTAGAGGCACTTTAAATAAAATAAAAAGTGTACTAGTTCCTCTATGTGAATAATTCGCATGGCTATTGGTCAGTGGACAGAAATAAGATATGTAAATAATTATGTATGTATCATGACATGATGGAATTAATTTTCTTTTCCTCGGTCGATTAAAACGTTTCATTTAAAATATATACCAAAATAAGTAACAGTTTTTAGGGATAGATAAATATTTTACTTGAAACTTATCGTCCTGTAATAGTGTTGGGGTCAGGGGTACTTCAAAATCGAAGTACAAATCTTTCCCCGGTGAGTTTCCTCAAAGGTGGGGAAAATTCGAGTAAAAATTAAAAATGAAGGGAAAGAAGGGGGAAAAAATTAGTGAATAAAAATGAGACCTGTAAAATAGAGAAAAACCATGCACATCAATGGCGCCGGTGAGGTGAAGATGAGACGAGACAAGAATAAATAAACATTCCATTATTAACATTTAAAAGGGGTTAATGGTGAGAAAAAAATAAACGAAAGAAAAAAAAAACACGTAGATTCGGGCGTTAACAAATAGTACTCTAAATAGCAAAAATGTTTAACGTTATCTATTGACGACATGAAAATTAATTTCGTTCTAAAAAGAAGATGAAAATTAAAATAGTTCTAAAAAAATCTCACTTCTCTTAATCAATAATTTTTAATTTGATCTTCAATAGGATTATTAAGTAAATAATTTCTATTATAATTATTTTGAGGAGAAATATTTTTTATCCGAGACTTATTCTGAAATTTCATTCTGAACAACATGAAAGTTATATTCATAATATTATAATTGAAAGAAATATTTGGAAAGGAAGTTTCTTTTATCAGAGTTTGTTTATCTGGGATCAATGGTAATATGCAACAACGATGCAGCGGTAGATATTGAGAGGAGAATATTGATTGCCAATCGCTTCTGTTTTCGACTCCGGAAGCATCGAAACTTGATAAGCAAGAGAACAAAATTTATCATATAAAGGACTCTAGTTCGTTTTTACTGTGTTATGGCTCGGAAACATGGAGCATACCCTAGCTGAAGAACAACGCCTCACATTTGAAGAGAAAGTATATATGGCGGTTCGAGAATAATGATTGGAGGCGAAGAACCAGTTGGGAGCTGAATGATCTATTTCATGCGTCGGGCAAATCATGTTTCATCAAGCTTGGAAGACTATGATAGACGGGTCATCTAATAAGAATGCCTGACAATCTGAATCCTGAGAAAATATTGGGGGAGCAACTTTTTAGTCGTGGAGTTTACATCGAGAAGCTGCGGTGGTCAGATTGTGTGGCCACGAAGGAAGAAAATATTTAAAGGTGCGAAACTAGATGGCCGCACCACAGAACAGAGAAACATGGAGATTGCTGCTGGAGTAAGCCAAAAACCTTTAAGGGTCGTAACGCCATCGAAGAAAAAGCAAAATATTTTATCTGTAGCTTATCATTCTGAAGTTGTAATCATAATAGAACCAAAGTCTAGCAGTATGCATAACTGAAAAAAATAATAATATAATAATAATTGAGCTCATCATTTTTCAAAAATTTTTCCACTCTCACTTCGCAAAAAAATTAACCTTAAACAGTATTTTTTAAAATTTAATATGAGTTGAATTCGGTTTTTCGAATGGATATTCCTGAATATCGGAATTACTGTAATGGATGTAATATGATATATGTATATAATGATGTAATATTCTATAATGTAGAAATATTTAAAATACATTTTTATTCTGAGATATGCAGTTTAACAAGTAAAATCTCTATATTAATGAAAATTGCGTCCTGTTTTATCGTTTAATTAAAATTATTGATTATTTTAAATAAACAGGCCTCGATGGAGAAATAGTTTGACTTATTTTTCGAAAAAAAGTAAAATATCAAATTGTATAGTGTTAAGAACAATTCACATTATTACATAATATACTGTAAAACAATAAAATATACACTGGAGTTAATATATAATTAGGCATATTATGTGTTTGTTGTGTGGAATATAAGCACACTTCTTTGCTCATTGGTCGTAATACATGTCCCTCGTGACTCGCAGTCATGATCGGACGGAACACGCCATAATCGATTTTCTGCTACAAAACGCGTACAGGTACTTCAAAAACGTGGAGAGTGGTCACAATAATACAACCTGTATCTAAAAAACAAAGCTAAAGTGGAATAATGCAGTGTTTATTATTCAAAACGCTACACACTGGAGCATTTAGGTTCCCTGCACATTGGACTAACTTAATCGGAAATTGCAGTGTACTGCTCTTATATAATTTGAATTTAAAAACATTTTGTTGACAAAATGCATGCGTTAAAAGCAAAATAATAAAATGTTAATTTTTATTGTATTTTGAATTTA